CTTTTTCATGTGGGTATCACCCTGCAGAGTGTACAGTGCCCTGTGAAGCTTGCAGCATCACACAGGTGTGGCCTGAGGGAGATGGAAATAGATTCTCTTCCTGATAAAATGAATGGGAATTTACTGGGCCTGCAATGCCAGATGCAGTGAAGGACTGTTTGGGAAATACAGTGTTTGATTTCGAATGGCCTCTTTCTTACTCACAGTGCTTTCCTCTTCCCATCAGCAAGTCTTCCTTCCTTGCCAGTTTTTATGTTGAGATATTAAGTTGCTGGCTGGCTGCTCACATGCTGACTGACTCTGTCCTTGAAATGCTCCATGAAAACCAGCTCAAATAACAGAGAGCTGGCCTACCCCTTGATGTCTTTGAATCACCTTCCGGGAACAATAGGGAGCTTTTCGTTAAGTTAGCTAAGGCACAGGAGGTCAAAATGTAGATAAATTAGGCTAAAAGAGGAGATTTATGTTTGCCAGGTCATGTGTTAATTAGCTTTAGGGTGGCCATGAGACTTACATTACAGGGCACAATCCCCTTTTTAAAGGTGACCTCTACTTGAAGGGCTTCCCAATCTATATCCAGTTAAAAAATAAAGAACCATAGGAAGGGAGAAGAGCTGCCTTAGCATTGCTAATTAGCAGCTATGTGTCAAGTTGTAGTTGCAGATAAAGGAACATATGATGGATTCCCTTTGTAGAAGTGGGCCCCCTGTAGAAGGTTACTACACATAATTATCAATATTCATAGGTCTGAAACAAGAAAAGACAATCCCGTAGAGGCTGGGTGTACGGAAAGCCTCTTGTAGGAAAAAGCCTCTTGCTCCTTCCTTTTCTTGTCATGGACGAGGGTTTCCTAATTTTCTTCCCATAGACCACCCTGGGTGCAGGTTGACAATAGTAGCTTCAGACATAAGATAGTTTTTGACTGGTTTGGGTGCATGCCAAAGCACCCCTGCATGACTTTATTGCATATACAAATTTAGCTCTGAGAGCTCAGAGGTTCCATCAGATGTTCCATTATGTAAGAGACCCCGAACCTCTAGGGAAAGGTCAACTGGACGAAAAGTTCAGTTGTTTCTATCACATTCAGTATCTTACTGCAAATGTTTTAGCTGTATAAACAGTTTTAAATGTTGTGTGTTAATAATTCCATATTAAGTTTTTATTATCTTGTATTATTGAACTGTCAGCAAAGATTGGCTATTAGGTGGGAGAGAGATGAGATAACAAGAGCAGACTAAATACGATCATGAGAAGAGGCACGCTGGTAGGCCAAGTTCCATTTAGTCGATCATTCTGTTCGTGCAGTGGCTGATCAGGAGCCCACATAAGCCCAGAGGCAGGGCAGGAGTGCAGCAGCCCCCTCCCACCATATCCCCCACCAACTGATGTACAGAGGCCACTGCCGCTGCTGCTGGAGGTAGCATGTAGCCATCAGGACTAATAGCCACGGATGGCCTCTTCCTTCATTAACTACGTGCTGTGTGACAAAGTGCTTCCTTGCATCTGTCCGGAATAACCTGATTCTGCTTTGTTTCACACCATCTCCTTGCAATTCTTCCCCCAGTTTATGTGCAAATATATTTTCATGAAGTCTTGATTCATTTTTCAGTTTTGTCCCTCCCAAAGAGAACTGGACATCCATGAAAAGGATACCCAGAACTTCCCATGAGTCCGGGAAAGACAGGCAGAAAAGGCAGGGCTGTTGAAAAGAGGGTTGGTTGCAACACATGTCTGATGAGGAATGGAATGCTACAGGGGCCAGGGCTGAACGATTAGCAGTGATGGAAACCTCCTGCTACTTGTTTTGTTTTGAGAAATTTGCACTAATTGTACACAGCAGGTTAACAGGAGATCCCTGCAGCTCAGTGCATTGCTTCAGCTAAAAGTTGGGGTTTAACCAGACTCCACTGCCGTGGAAAAATGAAGTATGTTTGTGTGAAACAAAAGCTATGAAGAGTAACATTCATTTGTAACACCTACAAGTTAAGTCACTTTTCTATTAAATAAAACCCAAAGCCATGGACCATGGCTACAACTTACAAGATAAAATAAGACTTCATTTAAAGAAAATCCCCAAGCCAACACTAAAAGCGGCAGCTGCAGAAAATCTCATTTAAAACCTAAGATTTGGAGTGTCAGTGAATGAATAACACCTGGCAGAACTCTGAGGTAATGGATTCTACAGAGGAAGTGCCAGAGTCTATTGACTAGGATCCAAAAGGATTATGTACTTCCCAGCCTGGATGGTGTTTGCATGTGTGTCCCCAACCTGACACCTTCTAGATAAAGACTAGACAAGGCTGCAGAATCAGGTCCAAGAGGAGCAACAATGGAGTCTCCCAATGACATGTGAAGAACAGAACAGGCTTGTGCTAAAATAGAGGAAGGCAACATCTGGTCTACTAGATGTTTGCCATATAGCACTTACCAACCTTCACTACTGAGTCGCCTGGTTAGGAATTATGGGGGTTGTAAGCAGAAACTTCTCAAGGGCTACCATCCCAATTATCATCTAAGTTGCTTCTGTGTTGGTTCACATTCCTTAAAGTACATTCATTTCTAGTGATGTTCCTTTTGGAGCTCCCAGATCAGAAAAACAGTTTGTGCTACAAATATGTTAATCAGAACTGGGTCCTACTGAAAGCAATGTGATGTTAGCCATCACTTACAAGTGCCAATGATTTCAATGGAGACTCAGTTCACTCATAATGAATTCCTACATGTCTACTGATAAGTCCTACTGATGCATTGGATTGCAACCTCAGACTGGATCCAATTCTTATTGTGTGTTACCATATGTCAGATTATTAATGATAGCCAGCTTTTGAGAGATGGAAAATGTGGTTCAATGTTCTTTCCTATATATCCACTTTCAAGAATCATTGCAAGAAATGCATAGTTTTACTGCAGTTTATTTCTGACCATTGAAACTGATGTCTAGTTCAATACAGGGCATCACTGTACCATAGATGATAATAAAGGAAAGACAGGACACATTAATTTGCAGCTTGGATATGCTGTATTGAGGATGTAATTACTCCTTGAATGACCTGACCCATCTAGAGAGAACAATCCAACTCCAAAATCTATTTCTCCTTTCCTGTGTTTCTCCTATCCCTGGGGCCTCTGCTTTTTTGTAACTGAAATGATGGTGCAAGTTGCAAGTTTTTGCTAAACAAATGTCTGGATTGACTTTGTAAGACATGGGATCAGAGAATGAACACATTAAGATCCATTAAACACACTCCCACAAGTGTGCTGGGCATCAGCTTAGGCAAGGCTGTGCTAGGTGGAGCAACAAGGATAGTCTTTGGTGGAGCAACAAGGATAGTCTTTGTGGCAGCCCAGGGACAGCTTTTCCCTGGTGTGATCTTAGTTATAGCTTCTGCTTTAGGAATTACCACATTCTCTTCCTTCCCTATTTGTCCTGAGCTCCAAAAGCACACTTTGGGATGAAGAGATTTCTATTTTATCTATCCACACAATATTACCAATATTGATCAATATTACAATAATAGCCCTATTATTGTTTTATTTTAACAGAGGGGGATGTTTCTGAATTAGGGCTACATTGTCATTCTTGTCAGTCCATTCCATTCATAAAAATTCCTTCATTGCACACTATTTGTTCTCCCCATCTCCCTGACAACAAAACCTGCTCTTGGCAATTCTACCCCTTTCTAAATCGGGCCTCTTCCTCCATTTCTACAAGCCCACCAAAACACAATTCCTTTCTTTAATATCCTTTCCCCCATTGCTGTGGAAGTCTTCTCCACTTAAAGAGTTTTGTGACCATATAATAGCACTCTTCATTGTATTTTGTCTTACTGAAATTTACATTTTTAATTCAAGCAAATTACACAGAAAAAAACTTCAGGTCCAGGATGGCCTATACATGGCATAAATAAACCACTTAAAATAAACTGTGAAGGGAATTAGCTAGAATTCTAAAGCTTAGTGAATTATTTTGCCTAACACTACAATAAGGCTTTGCCTATCGGGTGGTATGGAACAATGATAAGTTCTGAAGTCTTAAAAAAACTTTGTTGGAATCATCCTGTTTACTGGTATGTATCCACATGTATAGGGACTGCAGGTGGCACAGTGGTTTAAACTGCTGTGCTGCTGGGCTGGTAGATCAAAAGGTCGCCAGTTCGAATCTGCACAACGGGGTGAGCTCCCGTACTCTGTCCCAGCTCCTGCCAACCTTGCAGTTTGAAGGCATGCAAATGCAAGTAGATAAAAAGGTGCCACTTCTGTGCACTTCGGTGTTTAGTCATGCCGGCCACATGACCACGGAGACTGTCTGTGGACAAACGCTGGCTCCTTCGGCTAGGAAACGGAGATGAGCACCGCCCCCTAGAGTCAGGCATGACTGGACTTAATGTCAAGGGGAAACCTTTACCTTTACCTTTAATTCACATGTACATGCCATTCACTTCGTGGATAGGTGTATTTCATCAACAGCCTCACTGAATGATGCTCTCTGCATGGCTGGTAGACGCCTAGCCTACCCAGAACTAGGATTGGCTCACTTCCCAAAGTGCATCTCTCCTTTCTTCTCTATATTACACTGGCGTTTGTCTATTGAAATGCTTGGAGTGAGATCCAACTCATGCAAGCAAACTTCCCCTTCTCAGTACCTCCTCCCAGGAGAGGAAACAGTCCCATTCTACCAATGACATCTGTTTCATCAGTGGGAGGTGTTGACTGGAGACAACCCAGATATTTGCTTTGCCCAGAGCAACTCCCTCTTAGTGAACTGTGATCAGGTGTGTGTGGGTTGCTATTCAATCAAGAGTTGATCTCTTTTCTGCTCCTTTTCTGTGAGAAAGTATATACAAATATCTTGTTTTAGAAACATGGGAGAACAAAGACCAAAGAAGTCAGAGGGTTATGGCACCCAACAGGATCGCTCTCTAAGGGTCCTTAAACAACATGTAATCCAGCTCTATTAGGCATTGCCTTAAATTGTATCTTTCAGCAATAAAATGGTCTTATACCATAAAAAAAACACTTTTATTATTAGGGCAATTTATTTTGCCCTTTTGAACACATAAGGCAAGATGTTTAAAATCCAAAACAAAACTTTGTGTATCAAACTCACAAATGTAATAAAAAGTTATTTTTGTACATATACAAGCTAAAGATTCAATATTATATACAAAACAGATTTCTACAAATCAGATTTCAAGTTACAGTTGTATGATGAGCTAAATTATTACAAATCATTAAAGCTACTAATTCCACATTAAGTCTTTCACGGAACTGACACCAGGCATTTGATTTATGACTGCAAAAAGAAAATGTGGCAGCTAATTTAGATTTGCTTCTAGCTGGGCAATATGGGACCATCAACTGTGTGAAAAAGCATATGAATATTTGATCTAATACTGTTTGCGCTGGGCACTATTCCTTCAGGAGATGTCTCTGAAATTACAGTCCAGATGACAGATGAAGCGATGTATTCTTGCAGAAGATTCCAAAATGAAATGAGAAATGGAGTCTGGTAATTAGAAAGAAGTTACTGAATTTGACAAAGTTGGCTTTTTCATGCTACACTACAAGAGCAGAAAGCATGTCCTTCCTTTGTCCTCATCTAGTTTGTTTGGTGGGTGCAGGGAGGAGGAGGGTTAGGAAATAAGTTACTGAGACTGCTGGGTTTTTTCCACAGCAAAAAGTTTCATTTCACTACAGGTTGACAGGAATTTCACTAGCTCAACACATATTGAACATGTGTCTTTCCCTACCACCAGTTTGGAGGAGTGTGGAGGAAGAGAATCAGTGGCACATATGGTACAGGAAGAGGTAAGCATTCCTAGCTAAAGCAACATATTCAACTTGATCCATGTACAAGTCACATTCTGTGTAAGCATCACAACCAGAGGTAAAATGTTCTCACTTCGGAAGCCATTTGGCTTCATCCATTACTCAAGCCCCCACCCCCCCCACACACACACCACCACCTTGTTTGTATAGGTGGCAACTGTATTGAAAAGACAGGGAAATCACATGCAGGGATACAAAAGGAATGAATGGTACCAAAGTCATTTGTTCTGCAGATAGCACCTCCTTACTTTGGCATATTCCATGGTGAGTGAACAGCTTTTTAGTCTCCATGGTTGATGTCTATTTGCTGGAATGTTTTAACTATCACCAGAAAACCTATCTTAAAAAGGCTGGCTTGTATTTCAAGCTGACTTGTCTTAATAGGGTTTGTTCAAAACTGTTGTTCCATTAAGCAACACCATGTCAAGAATAGGTAGTTGCCCAGTATCTGAATGGAATGGCTTCATATAGAAGATACTTTGGTTTATTATTCAATGCTTCTCTTTCCATCAAAGTTCTATGACTTGTATGTTGTTTTCAGTGAAACAGCTGTTTGGCTTTTTTAGTACTTCTAACTCAGAGCAAAGCCCAAGTTAATAATGACTAGGATCTTACGAACATCAGTAGTCTTAACCATTACATTGTAGCAGGCAAAATTCCACAGCATTAATGCTGAAAAGACCTAGGCTCCATTGACAATTATCAGACTCACTAGCAGTAGGAAAGACTTGATCGTCTCTTTAATTTTCTACTTCTTTTTGAAATTGGAGGTTAGATTGCTTCACAAAAAAGTGTGTACTTGTCTGGAAAGAATGCATGGTGAATCCACACTTAGACTGTTGCATGGATAACAGCAGAGTAGAAGTTATACAGTAAATAAGGACCTCTGCTTCAGCAGTACAGTAGAGTTGGATAGGGAGAAGAATCTGGTGGAGTTCAAATTATACTTGGGCTCCTGCGTATATTTTCAGGCCTTGAACAGCAAGAGTAGATCGGATTTGTACACTTCTGCCTTTATTCCAGTGCACGTTTATCAAGTTGCAGAGTCAATAATGGTAGACATTATCCAGCATCCAAAGTACCTGCACAGCCTTCCATGCACAAATGTGACCTTTGAGCCACACTCTTCCCATGCACCTTCCAGATGTCAAGAGGCCATGTGAACAAGGTGCTGCAAGACCAGAAGACTATCAGACTCCCTAGTCACATGATGAAGCACTCGCATCTGCAAAGAATCCTCTCTGAAGTGCAGCTATTCCATTCTTTTCATACATGTTATGAAAACTGGGAGAAGAGGCAATGCTGTTTATACTTTTGAAAACCAGGAAGACCACAATTAGTCACAAGCACAATCCACTAAAACCTTCACCTGTGAAAATCTAAGAGTACTGAGAACTGCACAAGCCTTCAGACATCTTCTTGTACATTTCTCATTTTCTTTAGTAGAGTTCCAGTTCCCTGAAATACTACTGCTTTATTAAACTTGCCACATCCAAGTTTGACTAAAAGGGCATTTTGATAGTATTCTTATGGGTCACCATAACTTTATTTTAATCTGACATCTTTAACCTTTCCAAATAACCTGAAAATACATACCAGGTTAAATTTAAAACTAATACTGGAAGTGTCAGGCAAATTATGCCAAATATAGCCAAGTCCATAAATGTTTATCATTCCTTAAATATTTTAAACCTTTTGCTATCTCAAGGAAGTTTATAATTTCCTGAGCTGCAGTACTTTGACATTCCTTTGCTGTAAGGGATTCTGAAAAAATATAAAGGTTGTAGGATTCACGTTATCTTGAGCAAGGGATTGCTTTCACATTAAAAATGCCAAGAAATCATTCAAAAGGTATCATCAGTCACTTCAAGTTACATACACAGTAGAAATGCCAGAAATGCAAGCTTGAAATAGAATTCTTTACAAAGGTCAATGTAAGGCATGGGGCTTTTAGAGGCTTTTGGAAGGGACGGGAAAAAGAAATTTATATTCCATTTCAAATACAAGAACAGATTGCATATTCTTGGCAGTGAAATATTTTTCCTTTTAAAACTGTTTCCAAAATTCCATTAAAACATTAATAGGGTAAAGATAAAAGAAAGAGTAGTTTAATAAACAGCTGTTACTGCAAATAGGCAATACAGAAAAAGTTAAATGATGCATCTTTTCTTGGATCAACTTAAGTGACTAGAGAAATATGTTTCACAAACACTTTCAAGGATTCTGTACTTTGCATTCCTTGCACATCAACATAAATTCATCCAGCAAGAAGTCTCATTTTACTTTCACACATAAATGAAGTAGTTCAAGATCACAGTGCAGACTGAACTCATATGCAGACCTATGAAACTGACTGAAAGCCTAAGGGCCAACATTCTTTAGTTCACTTCCAATTGTCTTGTGGATTCATAAACCAAAAGACTAGCTGTAAACATTAACAGGACTCCTCCCAAGCAACATGCAATCTACTTAAAATGCATCTAACATTGAAACACTTCAAAATCTGTTCACAAGGACTCCACACAATGGCGTTCCTGAGTTCAAGAAGGTGCTACAGTAAAATGAAGAGCAGACATTAGCCTGCTTTTGCTAACACAATTAAAACAGAAATCCACCTACACAGTAGTAGTAGAAGCAAGTTTATTGTTAGGGATGATGGTCATCTAGTTTACTTCCAAGCTCCCTCAGAAGTTCTGCTGGCGTCTTTTCTTCGCCTCTATGGCATCAAGAATTGGCTGCCTTTTTGACTGATACCTTTGGCGAACTTCTTCTATCTCCTGCTCCATCATGGGATCAAGTGCCCCAAGTCTCCTTTGAAGTTCTTCAACGGTCCAGTTCCTCAACTAAGGGACACAAAAGACACAAAAATGCTGAGCTTGAAGTGGCAGAAAAATCAGAGATTAAGAAATGGTAAGATACATCCACCTATGCACTACAAAGTTTGTTCTACCTGCTTTGAGCAGAAATGCGAATGTGTTTTACTTCAAGAATAATGATCTGGCATGAAGAACAATAAAATGTACTAAATGCACAAGGAAAAAAAACTATGGTCAGGATCCTGAGTGGAATCTACAGCTTGGACACATCAACTTGTGAAAGGACTCCTGCTCCTGTAAGAGCTCTTCTGTTTGTGGAAGGGCCTTTGATCAAGAGGTAGCTTATCCTTGGTGAAAGGGAGATTTTTCCAATTCTCCTTTCTCTCTGCAACCCCCTCTGCCAACCCCCATACTATTCTCATGGGTCCCCCAACCCCCAGGAATAGGGTTGCAGAGGGAAGGGGGAACCAGTAATAGTTGTGAGCAGAACTGTACTGGGGAAAGATGTGGGGAAGAAAATGGTGCCCAGCTTTAATCCCTACACCACCCCATGTGGAGTTCAAGACCTGAGTCAAATTTTTTATGACATTTTTGTTTGCGATCTGATTTGGTCGTGAACTGAGGCGTTCGTGAGCCGAGGTACCACTGTCACCACACGTTCTTGAACGTGTTTATTAGAATCTGATCATTTTTAACCTTGTCTTCTACTTAGTTTGAACACCTACAAGACAGGAACTCTAGAAAGTCTACCTTTCGGACTGCATCATATCTGGTTCTCAGGTATGTCTGGTGTTTCTCTTTACACAGGGAAGGGATAAATTGCATTTCTCCAGCACAGCAGAGCACATATGTGAATTTACTACAAACTTCTCTCATGGAGAAGAGGTCACAAAAGTTCCCAAGTGCAATGGAGATAGCGTGACTTGTGCAATTTCATTATCATCTTTTCAGCAAGCTAAATGTATGGAAACATAAGAAACAAAGTGAGTCAGAAGGGGCCTCCCAGGCCATCTAGTCTGATCCCTGGCTCCAGCTGGTTTCACTTATATAATCCCCAACATGTGGTTGTCCAATCTTTCCTTAAACACCCTCACTGACGGGGTCTTAACCACCTCTCTTGGAAGCCCATTCCATATTCTAGGGGTCCTAACTGTCAAGCCTGGTTCCTTGAGCTTTGCCCCACTGGAATGCATCCTGCCCTCCAGTGCAGGGAAGAACAGGTCATAGCCCTCCTCCACATGACATCCCCTCACATACCTATAAGTTGCTAAAAGATCCCCTCGGAGTCTTTTCCAGGCTGAAACCCAGACTGAACCCAGTTCCCACAATCTCTCCTCAAAGCTCATTCCTCCCAATCTGGCTACCATTCTTGTGATCCTGTGCTGAACTGATTCTAACCTAGCTATGTCTCTCCTTTAATGTGGAACCCAGAACTGCATGAAGGACTCCAGGTGTGGGCACACCAGAGTCATGTAGAGCGGTATCAACAGCTCCCTAGATCTGGAAGCCACACTTCTGGCTATACATCCAAGGGTGGCGGTTGCCTTCTTAACCACCACATCACACTGTTGGCTCATGTTCAGCCTGCTATTGACAAGTATTCTCCATTTCCCTACCACTGGTCACTTGTGTTAAAAGTTATTCATAATAATAGATTACAGTGCAAGAGAAAGAAAATGCAGATTTTTGCCTCTGTTCATTGGAAAAAAAGCACTTTCCTCATTAGATGCATTATGCATGCACATTAACACAGTTTTAGTGGATGGCCCTTTAAGTTGATGTATGAGACCTGCTACTAGTCTATGCTAATTGCATAACATCTGTTTCAGAGAAGGCAATTGTTCAATAGCCAGCCCTCAGGAGCTGAAAGGATATAATAAAGTATAACAGAAAAGGAGGAAATATTAATTCAGTGCTGAGTGTGTCGATTAAAGAGCGCAGTCAGCTCTAACCATTAGAAGGCTGCCAGATGTTCCACTTGGTACCACATCTTCCATCATCTTCTTCTGGCTTTACAGCTAAAGTTTCTCTTAATCACCAAAATACAGTACCTAATATTTTAGAATAGTTCTTTTTGCTGAAGCACCACTAAAAAGAATCCTGTCTTCAGTTTGCATGAGAGGTGAGTGCATGTTAGAGAGAGGGAAAGAATGAATTATTTCTATCCTTTTTGGTTCTCTCTCATTCTCTCTCAACTGGGGACCACAGAACCACCTCAGGTTCATTAACCTTTCTCCTCCCACTCTTTCTCCTCTCCTCTATCTCTTTGCTGCTTTAAAATCCCAGTTCTAGGCATCAAACATTCTTTGGATATTATACAGATCAGTGATTTCCAACCAGAGTTCTGTGAGCACAAGTGCTTCACAAAAATGTTTAACTGTTAAATACACTAGTTTCTGCTAGTGTTTACTTTGTTTAGCTTAAATTCAGAGGGGCAAGGAGGAGTTGGGAGTTCCATGGGCTATCAAAACAGGTTGCAGGTCTGAACCACACAGCTATAGGCACGAGTGCCATATAATGGCAACTGGGACAGCACGCAAGTGGCTTGTTGAAGCATTAATGACATAAGCAGAAAATAGAACTGGTTCCTGTCCATTTATTGGAGCACTTACATTGGCACAAGATGCAGTACAAATCATCAAAATACAAGCTCCTGCCTAAGGTATCCGATTTTTATTGAGACAATATAAGGAATTTACTGCATTTTTAAATCCTGTCTTTCCTTCAAGCAGCTTGGGGGGCGGGGGAGCATTGATTATTCTCAACCCTCAGTTGCCCTCACAGCAATGCTATTTAAGTGGAGAACATCCATGCTCAGCCACAAAGTTCACTGGATTTGAACCAGGCTTTCCCAGATAAGGAATTCCAAGTCAGAAAGAGAGAGAGCTGAGAACTCAAAAGGAAATAAAATCAAATCCTGCTTCCCCTGGTTGGTCCCCACTTGTTTTGTCTAAGAACTATGATCACTGACTATGGTGACTGTAGCTGAGGGGAAGAGCAAGCAAAGACAACTGGAAGAATTTGGCCTGGGGAAGTCTAATGCTTAGACATACATGGGCCTTTTTGATTTTGTCTATTATAAACAGCCATGAGAACTACTGCACTTGTATTAAGGAAAATCTATCCATGTCGTGGCCAATTTGTTTTGCTGAAGTGACCAGATTTACAGTAAACAGAAAGCATATGGAATAAGTACAACACTATTCCATGTGAATAGGCTATGCTATCCTTTGAAGAAAGATTCTAGACTGTAAGTTAAGGGATGATATAAAAATGCATTTTACATGTTAGCCTGTTCAGAGGTATCAATTAGGTTTGGAGGATAGCAACAAGACTGAGAAGGCTTTCTCAGTCATAGCCCACACCCCTGACCGAGGAATACTCTTCCCAGTGAGGTTTGTCTGGCACCAACATTCTCTTATTTTCAGCAGCAGAGTAAGACTTTGGTATACAACCAGACCATTTGACAGCACACAATGGGGCATTTTCATTGGTAGTACATTCATTTCAGGTACTGGTAATTTGAATTGCTTAACTTGTTTTTAAACTGTTTTTAAATTTTTGAATGTTCATGGTTTTATTTTATATTTTATCATACTGAATATGAATGGACAGTTTTAGCTAAAGAAAAGTATGGAAATGCAATGTATGTTTAAAGGTAAGGCAACAATCTCATTTCAACTACAGTTACTCACAAACATGTGAAGTGATGTAATTTACAACTTCTCCAAATTAATTCTTTCCAGAGCTATTCATACTGTTGCTTAAGTGGAGACACAATGTCTACAGGCTGAGAAACCAAAGCAGGGCTGTGGCAATATAAGTGCTTATGAAGAAGTGTTTAGATCAATTGATTGTGCCCTTGAAGCTTTTGGCATCCTTGGCTGCCAAAGACTGTATGTTGCAAAAGGCATCCAAAAATATACTGCAAGCAAAAAGGGCAAGAGGTCCAATATCCTCTTCCTGGAGCATTAGGACAACACTACCAATTAGTACTTTTTAGTAAAAAGTACTAGACAAATGCCTATATTAGAAAGAATTTGGAAAGCTACACGGTTTTTTCCAATGTGGCTACAGTACTTACAAGGAAAGGGAACTCCATAAGGTACTCATTTTGCCAAGCCGTTAAAGGGAATGAGATGTGTACATGCCTCTCATATAGACATACCCTGGGTGCCTGTTCCTTCACTGATTGGAAGAGAAATGGGGATGGATGATCATATGGGATATACCTAGAGATTTCCTATTTCTGTAAAAGTGTAGTGCTGATATGCATGTTAGGGGAGAGGAACAGGTCCCTTTCCCTTGCCATTGGTGGAAAGAGGTAGAGTGCCTTTGAAATCTTGGAAATTGCATGGTTTTCTTGATATATTACATTACAGTCCCCCTGTAATTTATCTCCATTGCATTCTGCAACTGGCTTATTAGAGTGCCATGATGTCACATCACAAAATAAAGGAATCTGTGGAAAGCCTTTACACTTTTGTGATATGTGAATTCTTTTTGCGAAATTAGCACAGAAATACTGATCAAATTTGCTTCCACTTAAGCCTTGACTGCTCGCCAACATCAATAGATCTTCCTCTAATTTCAGGTTGGGTTTTTTACCACCATTTTTCCTTAGCAAACCTGTTCAAAAAAATACAGTAACTGAAGTAAAGCACAAGGTAGGAAGGCTGCCATGCTCACAAAATGCACTGTGTTCAAGGTTATTTTTTCCCAAGGTTTCATTTAATAAAAAGTGGTCAGGAACAAACTAGATAAGTCAAGCAGATGCAGACAAAATCGTAATACCAGTAGGCCATTAATGAGTCTTCACACTCTTCCTCCAAAGCATCAGTTTCAGCTTATTGCATGGCAAGTACACAAAACAGTATCAAATAAAGATGTAGGATGATAAAACTCTGCAAATTTATGAACAGCATCACACTTTTCCATATGTTTGGAAACACAGTGGGCATATAAGGTAGTCTCATTGTGCAAGTGTGACCTTAAACAGCAAGGTTAAAGAGTACATCTGGATCTGG